GTAGTCTTCAGAGCCCAGTAGTCTGTCTCTGCCAATGACCAGGAGCAGATGACTAGAGAGAGGGTGGAAGAAATAGAAGAAAGCACAGGGATCCTTCTCCTGTTGTGTTCCCAGCATCTATGAACCTGCGTTATGGGATTTTTCTTGAACTGAAGATTGCATTTTAGCCATCAGTTATTAAATACGTGTGTATCTGAATTCATCTGATAGTTTTTTTGGTTTTACTTCATGCCTTGGAGTCTACTGCAGCTGTGGCAGTTAACAGAATCTTAAATATACCTTGTTTTCCCTTTTGAGGGAAAAGTACCCTCTTTTGTTCTGTTTTTTAAATTTCTTTTAAACAGCAGTAGGGGAGGAGGAAGGAAGGAAGGAAACAATTACAAATTAAAATTAGTTCTTGAAACAAGTATATGTTGATTCAGTCAAAATGGAATTCTTTGCAACAACATTTTACTGATGGAAGGGCCCTTCCAGAACTGAAGTAAAGGGCAATAAGAGCATGATGCAAGTCCACAAAAGTCTGAGTCTGATACGCTTTCTTTCCTAGTGTAGTGATGCTTGTGGAGATCATGTGCTGTTCATCTAGTTACTAATTCATATAACTGGTGGCATGTGGAGTCTTTAGGAAATGGTGACCTTCAAAAAGCTCCCTAATCAGGACTTGGTCTAATAAGCATGTTGATTGCCCTGGACAGTAACTGCTAGTGCCTTTAAGTCACTAATTATCAGGAGAATTTCTGAAGTATGTTTCTGTCTTGATAGAAGTCAGTTCAGCCTTGTCTTCAGCATCTACTAGGATTTGCTTGCTAAATGAAGAGGCCTAGAAATGGCTAAAACAGTTCCTGTTCCACAGACCCTGTGCAGATTTGCCCAGCTCCTTATGCTGCAGCTGGCTTGGGCTCGGTGGAAATCTTCTGGTTCGTCCCCTTGTCCCCAGGTCCCTTTACTACTCCCAAATCTGCATCTGTTCCTAACCTAAATTTAAAGAAAAAGAGCACTTTATCTATCTTAGAACTTATATGACTTTTCTGGGAGGGAGTAGAAGAATTTCATACAATCCATCTGTGGATATCTAAGATGGGTGCTGGAATTGCAGAGCCTGTATATAACGCAGATATTGCCCTCAGAGGGGACTGAGAGTATGTAAGATAGTGGTCCTCAGGCTTTTGGCTATCTCACAGCTTGCTCAAGTCTGCAACCCTGTGCTAAATACCAAGACTCCTTTTGTAATACTTGGAGGGAAGCAGCAGTCTTAGATTTGAGTGTGCCAAAGCGAGTGCCTTCTGCAGGAAGCTGCCTGCGGAACTTTTGAACTGCCTGCACTGATTTGCCTTCAAGTGCCTGACTTGGGACTGCCCGTTTCTCTGTAGAATATGGATCCCTGAACATCTCCCAGCATGAGTGTGTGTAGGTGCTTTATCACAAGTGACAGAGCAGTGTTGCTGGCTCCTCTTCCTTTCTATCACAGTGTTTCTAGATATGCTCCCTGCAGCCTTCCTGCCTCCTAGAAGTACGTGCCAGAGGTTGTCCCCTTCAGGCAAAATGGGAGTCAGTTCTCTTCCTCACCAGCCTCCAGATCACCAGGAAATGACAAGGGAAAGCGCGCTGGGAAAGCTCTTGCGTAGTCCTGTTTGAGCAGTCCACTATTGATGGAATAACTAATGAGGGAGAAAACCTAGAGTAATAGCCTAATGCTTAGGGAGTATTTATTTCTAGGAGGGACTGGGCTTCCAGTCCCTGCTGCAGTAAATACTTAAGATAAAGAGCACTCACTTGAGAAAGGAGCAGTGCCACGTTCTCCCTTCACCCAAATGGCCATTCTCATCAGTCTGACATACGCTGCCATCTTTTCCCCGTGGCCTCGTGGCTTTTCACTTGTCACAAAGTTTGTGTTGTTAGGCCAGCTGACAACATCTTGTTTCACACAGGACATGTTCCACGCCAGGGTGAACTTTTATACAGAGCGTAGCCGCAAAGCCTGAATGCGGTCTCAAAGCTGGAATTAGTCACCAGCAACTGGGAACTTAGAGCCCGTGGTCTGTTCTTGGTCCTAGGTGTGTGCAGCTCATTGCTCTGTAGTGGGTTGCCCCAGGTGGCCTTGTCTGTATGGTCACAGGAGCGTATCTGACTGAATTTAGCCCTACGCTGCAATTCAGTGAAGAGCTTTGTGAGAGCCAGCCCTTTCCTCAAGCTGGCTGGCAGTTGTGCGCCAGCAGCAGTGAAAAGGAGAGACGTGCTCATGAGCCAGTAAAACTCTGAACGCTTGAATGGCAGCTTGGAGTCAGAGTTCCTCTTTCACCCTTCAGAGTAGAACAGCATTTCAAATTGTGTTGAGGATGCCGTAGCCACAGACGTAGGAAAAATATGTTTCTCTCAAATTCAAGGCCGACAGCAATTTAATGCTTAGCTCTTATGATGTATTTCTAATCAGGTGCATCCTGGACTAAATAGAGATGTTATCAGACTGTTTGGTTTCCTTTATGAAGTCTATGGAAAGGAGTAATCAAATGGTAAATTTGTACTACAGTTTACAGGGAGAAGTTCATCAGCTTGTGTTCCGTCTCTGCTGTGACACAAAATTATGTGGAGGAATAAATACAGAGAACTATAGGAACTAGATCAAAGATAGGACATGATGTTTTGTTTGCTAAATCATAGCTCTGCAGTGCTTCTTCAGCAAGTTTCAGAGAAAGCCCGTTCCTGAATCTGTTGTTTCCCCATAACGTTGTGCTGTCTAAACGTTAAATGCTACTGAGGTTAAGAAAAGTTATCTTGCTAACTTAAAGACAAATATTTGCAGCTTTTGTAATTAAAGTTTAACTTATATGCATTGGTAATGTATCCCTGAATTGAAAAATGGTTTATATCTATGTGGTCACAGTTTTCCAAATCTGCAGTGAATTCAGTGGTGCAGAATTGAATTTTTCCTCTCCTCTTATGTAAGGAGTAGTGCCACTTACTCAGTAGAGACAGTTTAAAAGCTTTAATCTCACCACAAAGAGCGATCCACCTGTGAAGAAAGGATTTCTGTGATGCTGCAACTCTTAGTCTGGCAGCACTTCCACTGCCAAAATGGCGCGGAGATGACTTTCAGAGATGCCAAGTGCTTGTGGCCACTCCTAACTTCAGTGGGAGCTAAAGCTGCGTATATAAGCCAGAGATGATCCCACCTAATGCTCTGTTGGTGGGACTTGTCCGTATACAGGGACAGCAGAATTTGGGAGAATTCTGTGGTTTAGAGAAGTTATTGAGTATTTGAGAGGTCAAGGATAGATTGCTTGGTGGTTTATATATAAGCTCACGTTATCAATGTATATAAGGGCAGTTAAAATTTTAAATTAGCCATTGAATACGAAAAGCCAAACAAAATGGTAGGAATTGCATTTAGTGGCATACTAGCTATGTTTACAGCATAGAGTTAGAATTAAAAAGCGGCGTTAATTAAGGCGTACTTCACGTGGAAATGTGGCAAAGGAAAATCACATTATAAAGTCTTTTCTTGTAGGGTTTTTTTAATTCTCTTCGGACTGAGCTCACTGACTACCCTGAGATAAGTATTATAAACATCTGCCCAGGACCTGTCCAGTCTAAGATTATACAAAATGTCTTTACGGAGGATCTCGCAAAGGTAAGGAGCAGTATTTCCCCCTAAAATTCTGCTATGATAAATCTAACTTTTGCTGCAGGCCCAATGATCCTTTTGTGATTTTTCTTTTCCTCCTTCCAGCAAACATCAAGCCCATCTTCTTAGCAAGAAACACTTGGGCACAGAATTTACTCTGTTTACTCTATGAAAGTAACGTTTGAGAGTTGTTATGCCTGATGTCTTCCACCACATACAATCCCTGTATAGCAGGATTTACTATGCAGCTGCCCTGCTGCAGCACTAGGGGAAAGGCCAGGATTTGCTGGACAGAGTTCCTCAGTGCAAAATACTATAGCTTCTGCATAGGTAGCTTTTTGTTTGCTTTGCTTGCAGGCGTCCCCTGTGCACTTGGCTATGGTGCAATTGTTGGCAAAGCGACTACAGTCAGCTGATGGAAAGCACGTACTTTGTTTCCTGTTGGTGGCTGTTCCAGTTGCACAATTGCTTTTAATAAAGACTGTCTAACAAGATAGCTAGCAAAAACTGTTGCTAGGACACGTTCTGGTAATACTTCATAAATTCTATACATTTGAAGCTGAAGATAATCTACCAGTAGGAGGGAAGAAAAAAAGATTCCTCCTTTTTGTTTGAATTCTGAAAGGATTTTTGGCTTGCAAAACTACATACTTGCATGAAATAAAAGATGTTCTTTCTGAGCAATCGGGAAATCCTGCAAAACAAATTCCTCAGATTTCTGCATGGCAAAAGACCTGGGAGGAAGATAAATTCCAGCTCAGAATTCCTTTTGCTCCAGGAAACGGAAGAGGTTGACAGAGCAGTCTGCTGCTGCTGGAATGAAGCGTACATGAATTCACAGGACGGTGGCTTACATTCACTAAGCAATACATGTGATATAAGACATTGTTGCCATTGAAGAGGTCTGTTGCTCTTCCCTCCTCTGAGATTACTGCCCCTATGCCAGGGCTGGCAGGATTTTAAGTTAATGGGAGGTGTGCTGACTTGGTTACAGAGTAACCTGTGTCATAAAATCAGGTGGACAGCTGGGGACAGGAAAGTCTCCATGTTTCAGGGCCCTCAGTTGCAGAATAGCTAACTATTGTAGAACAACGTACCAGCACAAAACTATAAGCCATGCTGTTGTTGGAGATTTGGGAGATGCACGTTTTACCTTTTTTGAACCCTCAGTCAAGCATGCCTTAATGTAAAAGGTGCTTATTTAAGCATGAGTGCTAAAGGAAGGTAGGTGGAAGGTGTTCCTACACCAAAATCAGTAGAGGATTAGCATACTGAGGGACAGGTTTCCCAGCCCCAGTCTGTGCTGCGCTGGCTGGGTAACTCTACTTTTGCACAGTGGAGAAACTAGGAGGAGTATGTTACGTAGAGCCTAGCTCTTTATTTCCCTCCTCTGCTCACAAAACGGAGCCCACTGTTAATCCCTCCGTTCTCTCTGTCTCTCGCTCTCTCTCCCCACCCCTCCCTCCAGTCCCTGGAGAAGAGCGGGGGACAAGATGCCAACCGATCGCTGTGTCCGGCTCACCCTGGTTAGCACTGTCAATGATCTGAAGGAAGCGTGGATCAGCGACCAACCCTATCTGGCAGTGTGCTACCTCTGGCAGTATGCACCCACGTGGGCTTGGTGGCTGATGAACAAGATGGGCAAGAGGAGAATCCAAAACTTTAAGAGTGGAGTGGTAAGTGGATGCCCCTCCTCTTGTTGTTGTTGTTGTGTGTTTTTTTTTTTTTTTTAAACGCTGCTGACAGACTCTTTAGCCGTAGGAATGTCGGGATTGTAGTTTGGCCCTGTTTCTTTTCCTCCTGCTCACTTCCCTAGCAGCTGATGCCAGGCTGGACTCCCTAGCTGTGTGCCTGGTAGTCTAGAATTACTGCAGCGTGGTCACATCGCAGAATAATGAAGTCAGTATATCTTGTAATGCCAAATGTCGCCTGTGAGCTTCATCACGCAGCCTGCAAGTTCAGGACTCGGCACTGGCTCAGAGCTTGAGCTATATAAGTCACTAGTGTAAATTATTTAATGCAACTTGAAATTAAGACTGTTGACAATCTCTCTCTAGCTTGTGTCCAGTTTCTATATCAGGCATGTAATCTGAGCGCGTCCCAGAAGTACATTAAGCACTACTACTATCGGTCACGTCTCTGCTCTCATTCACTTATCAAAAGACAGATGTGCAGTGTAATGTTTCATTCTAGCCATGCTGCTTCATAGATAGTGTTTTTCTTACTGTGTTTTTGTTGAATTTGCTACAAAAAACATATATAAGTGCTCCAAAAGCAGGAAATGGAAAAATTAAGGTGGCCCACGCAACCTAAAGCTTCCTAATTCCACACTGTAGCTGCCCACTGTCACAAGTTATTTTGCCTGAAATAGCACTGTGGGTGAAGGGCTTGAAACTAAGTACAGTAGAAAGCATGGAGGAGAAAGAGTGATTTTATGTATTCTCATTCCAGGATGCTGATGCCTCTTACTCAAGAAAGAATAAGTAAGAACAGACCTGTACAAAATCCTGCTATCCTGGTGTTAAGGCTGAGAGTAACTTTTTTTTTTAAATTGCGTGACTGCAAACAAAAACTTCGCTTTTTTTAATCTGTTGTACTTTTGTCATCATGTAACTTGACAAATATATCAAGCTGCAGACACACTTAACTGAATAAAAATCTGTTTCTAAACATACCTGTTTTATGTCTTTGCACAGATTCCCCTAAAGTGGATTTTTAAGCTTACAAGAATTGAAACAGAAGAACAGGCAGTCTTTGCTGCTGCTATGACATTACCAACTATTTGGTGAGCAGGCTACAAAGCATATACCCGCAGGATCTGATTTCCCTCACTTTCTTTCCTACTGAACCTCAAGCAAAAAAGCACTGCAAGTAGGAGAAAGGATAAGGGTATAAGGGTAAGGATGAAAAGTCCGTGTTTGTGGAGTGTTCCTTTGTGGAAAAAGGCATTATCTGTCATCTTTGTTACCAGCCCTGAGGCTGGTGTACAGGTGGTCTGAGAGCAAAATGGTCGTAATGCATGCATATAGGGTTAAACTTCTGGTCACAACATTCAAAAGCACTTAATCTTTAGGTCTCCTGGCAGCACTGCAGTCCACAGTCCTAAATCTTCTGTGTGTTGTGTAAGGTCTTCAGAATTGGACAGTGAGTAGAGAAGCAGTGGGGAAAGGAGAGAGGGGGAGGGAAGTTCTTGACATTCCCCTGTGACCAACACCTCTCTCAAGTGAGGGTATAATTGCAACCCCTATCCTAGGTAATGCTCAGCCTTGCAGTAAACCTGGTACATGTTTAATGTATAGAACATCATCAAAAGAGGTGCGGGGGAAAGAGCTCCTGTACTGCAACAGCTTGTGGCTATAGAGGAGACTCGGAGCAGGCACAGTGTGAGTGAAAAATCCATTTAACAGCAGACTGGTTAGAGCCAAGACAGCAGTTCAAGGATCGGAGCTGCATTAGGGCAGACATTGCATTGTAGGTGACTTAAACATGAAATAACTGTTGACTTCCCCTCATCATCAGAAACTGGTACTTTCATATGGAGCCGAAGGAAATCTCAGCCTTAGTGCTGTTCCCAGTGTTGGACAGCAACAGGGTTGAGGGACTGAGGGCTGTTACTTTTCACACTTTATCATCTAAGTGCCACCTACTTCAACCTTCAGCTACAAAGTACCTTTGCAGTGGTAACTCCTGTGTACCTACAAGCTTGCAGATCTCTTTGTTGTTGACTAAATTCTCAGCAATTATAGGCTGTACCTCAGGCTGCATACTTTCTAGGTTAAAAAAAAATTCCTCTTACATCATTGAGAGATTAAAGAGGGAAAAAAAAGTAACAATCAATTTTTAAATTACTGGAGCTCTTCATCCATGCTGCTCCCTCTTTAGCAGAGAATAAGTCAGGAGTGACATTTCCACATGACATTTAACAAAAACAGAAAGTACTGTCTAGAAAAAATGACTTGATCACAGCACCTGTCTTGCACTGCTCTGGAAGAATGGCAGGTTCATTTCACTAACACCATGCTGGAGGGCTGTGAAACACGTTAAGAGGCTGCAGTAAACCTCCACGACAAAATGCAACTACTTTTAATACAACACATGCAAATGATGTTCACAGAATGCTTTAGCGTCCATCCTCTAGTCCATGGAAGATTCGGTGGTGATGTACAGAGCAGAAGGCTTGCTCTCCGGTTTATGTACAGCTGTCTCTGCTTTTTCACTACAACAACAAAGTGCAAGCACTTGTGTTCTAAGAGAAGTTTCCTTCTCTTGGGCTAAGGACAACTGCTGCTAGACAAATAAATACTGACCCACTTTCAGAGACTACAGCTATTGCCACCAGCAGGAGAAAGAACAAAAAAAGAAAGGTAAAAGAGAAAGGTAGAGATGAAAGGGACCAGGTGGAGAGGAAGTGAGAGAACACAAGGTTACTGATTTCAGAGAGGATGCTGATGCTCAAGGAAAATGTAAAAAGTAGCCTCCTTTCCAAACAGGACAAAGCATTTTCCATTTGGAAGTCTCACTTCCCTGATGCTTTGTTCCATTTGAACTGATTTCTGTTACTTTATGATGGCATGAACAGGATATAGGCAATCCCCAGGGCTTTGCTTTTTTTTTGGGGGGGGGGGGAGGGAAAGGCAAAAAAAAAAATACTGTTCAGCTCAGTGTGGGGGGGAACTCCCCTAGTAAACTGGGGAGTAAACTAAACATTTCTTAGAAAATATTTTCTAACTGACCTCATTAAATAACAGGTGTGCCTTTGAAGAAGAGCCTTTATGTGATGACCATCGTGAGCTGTAAAGCAAGGAGGTGCTGATAAGAATGAGAGTAAAGTTAGTACACAAGTGGTTAGAAAATTTAGAGCACTTCTCACTGGTTATACAGGAAAATGGTGTGGTGGCCTGTCATAAGCTCAGTACTAGATACTAGTATCTCATCAGTAGGCTGTATAATTGCATATGTTATGCTTATGAGAGCTGCAGATGAGACCAGGCTTGAAGGTGCACTAAATTCCTGACAAACTGAGGAAATACTCCAAAATAAGCAAGACATAGTTCAAAAAGCATGCATGCAAAATAATGCACTTACTTACAGGCAGTCAGATGCATACATTTACCATAGGGAACAAAAGGCTGTTACTAGCCATTCTGTCAGAAAAGCATCTGAACAGGATTATAGAAGATCATAAGCTGAACATGAAGCAGGATCATACTATTGCAAAACCCTCAAACTAGAACTAGCTCAACAGATGAATATATAAGGGGGCTATAGGACATGCAACTAGCAACAGTAGGGGACTGGATTTCACAACGCATTAGAACCTTTCTACTGCTACGTTCTTATGCACAAACATGGATTCAGCACATAAGTAAGTCTGAGCCTCCATCTGCTGCCAATAAGATCTGTGCCCTCTTGTTACAAGCAACAGTTTTCAAGAAAGCTGGACGGAGAGAGCCAAAGGAAGCAACAGAAAATCATCACAGCTCTTTTCAGTCTCTTCTCAAAGGACTAGTTTGTTTATTTTACTGAAGACAAACAACGAGGGCAGAAATTATAGCCATCCTCAAATAAGACTGCTGCTCTGGAAAAAAAAAAATAAAATAAATTTTCTCTGTGTCCATACAGAAGACAAGTAGTAACAGGATTACACTGAGGCAGGGAGATTATTAGATTTAGGGGGAAAAAAAACAAACAAAAAAACTTTCCAACTGCAGAAACAGGAAAGAATTGGAGTGAACTACCTGAGGAGCTCAAGTACTGAAAATTTTATTTTCAAAGAGCCCCAGTATTGAAATATTTAAATAAGATTAAGTATTTGCCACAAATAGTTTAGTTAATTACAATTGATTCTGCCTTTTGACAGGGAGCTGAACTAGGTGCTCTCTAAAAGCCCCTTCCAGAACTGTTTCCATGATTCTGTATTTCCAAGTACAGTTCATGGCCAAGTTATGTACTTCTGGCTTTTCATCACTTTGTTTACTTTTTTTGCACACCAAATAATCACGTCCTAAAAGCTGCTTCCATTAGTGCTCTGTGTGTATCTCATACTGTGTATGTTAGAGGGCCATATCATGGCTTTTGAGAGGTGTTTCCTTACCACTCCTGAATACCATTACAAGGTTTGCATATTTCTTTAAAATTATTTATGGTCACTGATCAAAAGAAACAGTTGTTAGCCTAGTATGCAGTGCATGGTCACGTGACAAGTTTTACTTGATAGGAAAAGGGCTTAAAGATGAGTAATAGAAGTAATAAACA